CCCAAACTTACATACAATCTTATCCTTTAAATAACTCAAACAGAGTTTAACGCAGCATTAACAACAAACTAACTTCATAATATAATGTAATTGTCTTAATACAAGACTTAATATAATTTTATAGTTTTTGAGCACTAACTAGACATAAAGAAAAATATACAAAATACAATAAAAAGAGCATGTTCTAAAGGTCTAACAAAAGTGACCTGCTATCAAGCTATAAGCCTTAAAAGGAATACTATAGGTTCATAATCATAATCAGACATATATATTTATATTTCAAGGTTCAACTCATGAAATCAATCAAATGAGGAGCTATCAATTTAGAAGCCAATTCAAATTATATATTGGTTAACATAAAAAATTTAAATTCAATAATTGATCATGCTTTATCATAATAGGGATAACAATCAACATACATATTATCAAGAAGTATAATCCAATTCATATTAACAAATCAAATATTTATAATATCTCTCATGCATATGAAAAATTATTCACTCGCCTGACTCAAAAGCAAATAGAAGTCAAAAGCAAACACCGAAAAAAATCCTACTAATGTCTCGCTAGTAAAATATCAGGATTATTTTAATAGAAAGGAGACATATTCAAGAACGATTCGAAAGAATATTTAACCTATTTAATACACTTAACTAAGGGTGTATTTCATAACTCTATATATTTTTAAACTAATTAGTCAATTTTCTCAAAAACCTAAAATTTAACAGTTTTTTCGAAATCTAATTCATAATAAAACAAATAATAAAATTGGTAATAATTCATTAAATAACCCTCAATTATTCATCAAACCAATCTGTAAAAGCTAATATTATAGCTAGGGACTAATTTTGAATTTATCATATTTTCAAGGGTCAAATTGTAACTTTTGTCAAATTGAAGGACCAAACTAAAAATATCACAAATTCATGAATATAGTCGAATTATATCCATAATTCATTTTCATTTCTGTCCAAAATCTCTAATTATGCTCCAGGAACCATTCTGGAATTGTTTTTCAAATTTTTAGGGTCAAATTGGAGGACCAAATTAAAAATATTATAAATCCATGACTATACTGTAATTCTAATCATATTTAATCCTCAATTCTGTCTAGAATATCTCATTATGCTCTAGGGGCTATTCTTAACTATTTCCAAATTTTTAGGGTTAAATTATAATTATTGTCAAATTGAAGGACCAAATTGAAAGTGTTAAAATTTCATAACTATACTGGAATTCTGCCCATAATTCATACTTTATGCTGTTCAGAATCTCGGATATGCTTCTGGGACCAATCTGTAATTTTTCAAAGTTTGGGGATTAAACTATAATTTTCACACATTGAGGGACCAAATTGAAATTTTATCATCTTCACCCTCCAATCCAGAATTTTAACAGAAAACCTATTTTTCTTTCTAAATTTCTAACTCAAAATTTATCATTTATACAAATCATTATTTTTACTCACAATCTCTCAAAATCAACTAATTAATCAGTTACTCATAATAATCAATTCATAACATTCAAATTAATTCATCAATTAAACCAAAAATATAATTTTTCAAACCCTAACATTCAACCAAATTAGAAATGTAAAGTTTAATTAACACACATTTATACATTTAACAACCTAAATCTTACCTTTAAATTTATTTTCTCTAACTCTCTTCTATTTCCCTTATTTTCCCCTCTTTTCTCTTCTTCTTCTTTTTCCTCCCTTCTCTCTCACGGTTTGCTCCTTGAATTTTCAGATCTCTCTTTCTTTCTTTCTTTCTTTCTTTCTTTTTTCTTTCTATTTATAGTTATCATCTCTTTATATAATTACTACAATACCCCTCATTTAACTATACTTTTTCTTTAAGCCTCCAAGGGTTTTATTGTATTTTCCTATCTTTTTAATTCAAAACATTACAAAAGGCTTGTAAGCATATTTTCATTATTATAACCCACATCTGGTAGTTTTCACTAGTAAATACTAGTGGTGATGCAAGATAATACATATTTGATACCATTAAAAAATAATAGAAGATTTCTCACAAATTGCTCTCTTCACTCGAGTTGGTCTCGTAAGATTAATGTAGCATTGATATCAATTTGAAGTTGTTGATAGTATAAAGATACAAAAAAACAAAGAAATAAAACCGGCAATATAGAATTGTTGTTATTGTGATTGCAAGTATAATTCTTTATTAATGAAATTACTCTTTTATGTAATAGTTTTGATAACAAACTTTAAAAAAATAATGACAAGATTTTAATTAAAAAAAAAAGCTAAACAGCTTTATTTGCAACAAACATGTTAACAAATAGGGGTTAATCTTGACTCAATCTTCTCGGTATCAAAGACCACTTCTTCAGCAACAAATGAGGCAACTATCAACAATATATAACACCGGAAAGCAAGAAAACTTGTTTAGAATCTATGTTGAATTGTTGTCCATTTGGCCCTAGCCAAAAGCAGCAAACAAGCCATGGAGCAGGACTGTTTCAGTGCGCTGAATACTTTCCACATAGAATAATCTAAAGCTTCAGAAATCATCAAAGAAAAAATTGCCAGAAATGGACGGCAATTAAACAACAGTGCGCGCACACATATTTGCTAGCGATGCCTTGAGTGTTTTCCGTATAAGATAATCTATAGCTGCAGCTATCATGCATGAAAAACTGCCAGAAACAGAAGGCAAATACCGGTGAGCCATGAATTGGTCATTCACCAGAGACCTTGCTGCTGCCTTGACTTGGTCATTAACCGACCAATACCTCAGCTCACTGCTATAAGAATATTCTATATGGGCATTTCTTTTGTGCAATAAGTTAAGAAAGCCGATTTTGCCATCATAGCCGATTTTGCCATCATTGGTGCCAAGGGCGTAGCCAGGATTTTTTTCTATCCTGGGCTGTCAAACAGATATATATAAATTATTTTATAAGATCAATTATTAATTTATATATATAATTTTTTAAGTTAATAATAAAGTTTTAATTTAAATTTAAAGTATATAAAATTTAAAAAATAAAAATAAATTACACTATTGAAGTTGCACCCTTCCATATTTTGTAGAATAAAATTTATTAATGATCGAATCCGTATCAATATTTTCATCAAGCTCTCATTCAATGTAAATTATCATAAAATATGCTAAAAACTCATCTTTTATTTTATTACGAAACACAATTTTAACATGTCTTATTGCTGAAAATACTTGTTTTATGATGGCAATGAAAATAAACAAAATTAAAATAAGATAAATCAACTTGTCAATCAAATGATAGTATTGTGACTTATTTATTTTAACTAATCCTCGACATAATTCAGAAATGATAGAGATATTCTAAAAGTTCTTATGATGAATCACATCAATTTAATAATGCTCTATTCGAGATCTCAAATAATATATTTCTTGTTCATTAAAATCTTCATGATAAAATTTCTTAGCAAGCTTGCAAATAGCATCAACTTTAAATGATTTAAAGTTGTTCTTAGATTCTAAAGCATAGCTAAGTACAAGAAGTTTCAATATCCCATCATTAAATCTAAAATTTAACTATTCATACTAAAATTTTATTATTGAGTTAAATATATCATAATAATAATGTTGATAAACTATCACTGGTTTTTGTTATTGATATAAATGACCTGTAGTTTTTTTATACGAAGTATTTATATATGATATGTCAATCTCATACTGTGTGTAAATAGATTACACATATGCAAGGAGAAAATCAAATCCGGGATATAATTAAATCAATTTTCAATTTCACAAGTAGTAGTTTTCCATCTTTTGTAAGAAGACTATTTTCTTTTTATCTAATAAAAAATAGGCTATTCATATATCTAAACTTAATGAAAAATATTCAATTTTATTAATTAGGATTTCACTAGTATCTTATTTAGGTTATTTGCTAATAATAATTTTATCTTCCTCATTAATATTTATCTTTCATATTTTATAAGAGAATTTATTGTAAAAGCTCATAAATTACTGTATAAAATAATTAAATTTTAATAAATATATTAACAAGATTTAGTTAATGAATGTCACGAGAAAACTAGTTAGTTTTTTAAATTTTAATCAAATTAAGATTAATATATTTAATAACATCTTTCTTTTAATACCATAATATATATTGACTAAAATCTTTTAGTCTATGTAAGTAAAATCTAAAATAAATTTATATTTTTTAAAATACTAAAGATAAAGGAAAGAATATAATTTTATTATTTTTTCATTAAGATATTCTTATCGATTTATTGGATAAAAGATAGATTATTTATATAAAAAATAAATAAAAAAATTCAATATTTTAACTAGATTTTTACTAAGTTTTGCGTTTTGGTTATTTATTAAGACTGATTTTACAATTCTAAATAATATTAGATGGGAAAGAATATAATTTTATTATTTTTTCATTAAGATATTCTTATCAATTTATTGGATAAAAGATAAATTATTTATATAAAAAATAAATAAAAAAATTCAATATTTTAACTAGATTTTTACTAAGTTCTGGGTTTTGGTTATTTATTAAGAATGATTTTACAATTTTAAATAATATTAGATGGGAATATTAATGCTAACTTGGAGTTTTTTTCAATGAGAATACACTTAGAAAAAAAAAATTTTTTAGAACTTATTAACTACTACATTGCATTTATCATGTGTAAATTAAAATTTTAAATACTGATTTATTTTTCTACCTAGGCTACAGCCCACCTCAGCATTCTACATTCCTCCGCCTATGATTGGTGCCTTCGCTTTTTTCAAAATTAACCAAAGCTTTCTCTTATAATCAGCAACATTAATTATATTGCCACCATCCATAAGGACAAGTAGAATCCTGTCAGAAATAGATAATCCCGGCAAAGATCTGTGCGAAGTTTTAATCAAGTGGCAGTATTTAATTAACAGAATGATTCAAATAGACAGTCCACGATATGCATCGCAGGCACCGATATATTCATTCTTTCTCTGTGTAGTCAAGACCATTTCACATCTCACTCAAACACAAGTTCAACATAGAACACAGTTTTACAGCGACGTACGATATGATTACCAAGAAACCATTGAGTTCTTCGCTTCTCTCATCACTAATTTTCTTTCTTTTAGCAATATCATGCCATGCATTCTCGATTAGAGAAGCTAGCATAAGTGATCTCCAACTTGCTTTTAAGCAGAAGAAGCTCACCTCAAGGCAACTAGTCGAGTTCTACATTGGAGAAACCCATGGGCTCAATTCAGTCCTTAAAGGGGTCATAGAAATAAACCCTGATGCACTCTATCAAGCTGATAGAGCCGACTATGAGCGGAGGGTTAGGGCACAAGGTGCTCTGGTGGGCTTGCATGGCATTCCTATACTGCTAAAGGATAACATTGCCACCAAAGATAAGCTGAACACAACAGCTGGCTCTTTTGCGCTGTTTCGATCAGTTGTCCCTCGCGATGCAGGGGTAGTGGCAAAGTTAAGGAAATCTGGCGCTATAATTCTTGGAAAGGCTAGTTTGAGTGAGTGGGCTGCTTTCAGATCACTTAATGCACCTAATGGTTTTAGTGCTAGAGGTGGCCAAGGAAAGGTGAGTAAGATGGGTGTTTGGTATTCAAGTTGAATCTGTTTTTTATTAAAATTTGAATTTTTTAATTTAAATTAATTTTTTATGTTTTTATATTATTATGATGTGTTAATTTTAAAAATAAATTTTTTAAAATTATTATTTTAACATATTTATAAGAAAAAAACACCTTGAACAGTTTTAACCGTATAATTCTTGCCAACGTTTCTCTGTTTTTCTAGATCAGTTTTTGTTGGCCTTTCGCTCTTCAATTATTTGCTTGAATATTTACGAAATGATCAGCCATGTCCCAAAGAAATATCCATCGTAGTTAAAACTGGATCTTTGTGTTCTGGATCTTTGTGCAGAATCCATATGTTCTATCAGATGATCCTTGTGGATCAAGTAGCGGGTCAGCAATATCGGTAGCAGCAAATTTTGTAGCAGTATCACTAGGGACTGAGACTGATGGCTCCATCTTATGTCCATCTAATGCAAATTCGGTGGTGGGCATAAAACCAACAGTTGGTCTCACCAGCCGAGCTGGGGTTATCCCAATTTCTCCTAGACAGGACACTGTTGGGTGAGTGTTCTTATATTAATCCTATCACATCACTGCATTAATCTTCACTCAATTAGTCAATCATATCAGCAATATATATGGTCCACTTATTGTCAAGTAGTTCCATTGATTTCAGTCAACAGATAATCACCCCTTGGCTTTGTATGGAGCAGGCCTATCTGCAGGACTGTATCGGATGCTGTTATCGTCCTTGATGCCATTGTAGGTGTTGATTACAACGATGGTGCAACCCAAGAAGCATCAAAGTACATCCCACACGGTGGCTACAAACAATTTCTCAAGCCTTATGGATTGAAAGGGAAGAGACTTGGAATAGTAAGGAATCCATTCTTGGGTTTTGCCAGTAAAGCAGAGAGTCAAGCTTTTGAGTATCATCTTCAAACACTAAGGTAATAAAAAAAATATTCTAACCATTAATTTAAGTTTTTTTTTTTTTTATCAAATATGTGATTGTGTAATACAAGTTTTATCGTCAAACGAAGACAAGGAGGTTCAGTTATAGTTGACCATTTGGAAATAGCCAACATCAATGCTATCTTAAATTCCACTGGGAGCGGTGAAGCAATAGCATTGCTAGCTGAGTTCAAAATATCCTTGAATACATACTTGAAAGATCTGGTGGCTTCCCCAGTCAGAACCTTAGCCGATGTTATTGCATTCAACCAAAAATTTGCAGATCTTGTGAGTATATGGGAACAGGTTTTCTTTCAATTTTTTATGTACAATCATCAATGTTTAAGCTGCACCAGTAATTCTAAGAATGCATGATTACATCTGACAATCTTAATATATTTCAATGGCCATACAGGAAAAGATCAACGAATTTGGTCAAGACATCTTTCTTCTAGCTCAAGCTACAAATGGGATCGGCAAAATAGAGAAGGCAGCATTAATAAATTTAGAGAAACTGACAAGAGATGGATTTCAGAAGTTGATGAGGTATTATAAGCTAGATGCCATGGTCACACCTGGTGCAGGTTTTGCACCTGTTCTTGCAATCGGAGGATTCCCAGGGATCAATGTCCCCGCAGGATATGATGATAAGGGTGTGCCTTTTGGCATAAACTTTGGAGGATTGAAGGGTACAGAACCAAAGCTAATTCAGATTGCATTTGGTTTTGAGCAGGCTACTAAAATTAGAAAGCCTCCCACATTCAAGGCTTGAAGCTTCAAAAGAATGTCTTCTTTGAAATTCCAAGTTTTATATTGCGTTGATCAATAATTATAGATTTTTTTTTGGTCTTAGGGTTTGTTATTTTGTATCTGTTCTGTTGGCTTAAAGGTATGACACTAGCCAATTCTGTTTTGTAACAAAAAAATATGCAGTAACTTGGATCCGAAATCAATTTATTGTCTTCATATGGATTTAATTCCTAGTAAAATCAGGAAATCTCTCTCCTTCTATGTTTCGGATGAGATCAATACTATATATACCTAGGTACTCGGACTTGGTTTTCTCGCAAATTCATTCAAGCAACCTTCGAGGTCTTTCTCTTGCCAGTGCTCTCTATTCGCAAGTTTAGCCTTCTCAAAAACATTAATTCATTGTCTTTCAATCATGGTTTTCAAGAAAACTTTGGTTATTTTCTTCTTGACTACGGCTCTTTGTGGATTCTCCATGGCTGCTCGTCTTTACCAGGTTGGTGGTTCTGCTGGTTGGACAAGCATGGGGGACAATGATTACCAAGATTGGGCAGCCAACAAGAAGTTTCATGTCGGTGATACTCTTGTTTTCCACCACGACTATCGATTCCACGATGTGAAGCAAGTGACTCGCCAAGATTTCAAGTCATGCAATGTAGCATCTCCAATAGCTAGTTACTACAATCACCACGGCTATGATTCACTGACTCTTAATAGACTTGGCCACTTCTACTTCATATCTGCTTTCCCTGATCACTGCCAAGCTGGACAAAAGATTGATATCTTGGTCACACCAGAAACTTCAAGTCCGACTCCTCCGCCATTGAGCTCACCTATCAGTGCTGCATCAGCAACGTCCAGTGCTCCATCTCTTCATCTATCTTGGACTCTGAGCGTGCTTGCGTTCTGTCTCTTAGGATTTGCTTGTTAGGTAGTTTTTCAAGCAGATTCTGTGTCCATCTTGGATGGTTTTCCTCTCGTTGTATTAGTTCTGTTACTTTTATTATTAACTGATATAAAAGATTTAAAATTAAACTTAATTTAGGATAGTTTACAATTCTTTCTTTCTTTCGATCTCTTCTCTGAGTCCAAATTCAACTGCTGTCTACATGTAAATGGTGTTACTTACTCTGAATTTTTCTGATGGCTTTAGCAGTTTGATCTCGGCGTCAAATGGAAAAATTGGCAGATATTAATGTCCCGTTGAATTATGTACAATCAATAATTGAATCCCAGATACAAACGCATACTCTCTGCGTTGTCACACCTGAAAGAAAACAGAAGCTTAATAACATGCAATATTGTAAGGAAATGTAACACATTAGAGCCAAATTTATTTGCTTTTGTCGAATTTTTTCTTGTGAAATAATCTGCAAAACTCCAGAGAGAAAAACTTCAAGAAATGGACGGCCGATACCATAAGTAAGCCATGAGTTGGACAAAATATGCACCAGAGACCCTATAGCCTTAACATGCTAGTAAATTAGCGAGTACTTCAGATCAGTGCTTTAAGGATATTTCTAAAGTTAATATATCAATGCTGCGATAAGTTAAGAAAGATGATTATGACATGCTTGGAAAGATAAAGAACAGACAATTCTGACAAAGAGCAGTACAAAACATCTGAGTAAGTGTCTTATGACTCACAGCAGCACTTTTTTCTTTGAGTTGAGTTGGACCATTTCTCATCTCGGCCAAATCCAAGTCCAAGCAGAATACATTTCTCCATTCAGTTAGTCATGGCTACCAAGACAGTACTAAACTTCTCACTCGTCTCGTCACTAACTCATTATTTTAGCAATACCAATCCATGCATTCTTGATCAAGGTAGCAAGCATATGTGATCTCCAGCTTGCTTTTAAGCAGAAACAACTCACATCAAGGAAACTGGTTGGGTTCTACATTGGAGAAATCAATAGACTGAACTCATTCCTAAAAGGGGTCATAGAAATAATTCCTGATGCACCTCGCCAAGCTGACAAGACTGATGACGAGCTCAGTGTTAGGGCACCAGGTTCAATGGTTGGTTTGCATGGCATTCCTATCCTTCTCAAGGATAACATTGCTACCGTTGGACACCACGTCTGGATCTTTTGCACTGCTTGAATCAGCCGTGCGTCATGACGCAGGTATTGTTGTGAAGTTGGGGGAAGCTGGAGCTATAATTCTTGAAAAGGCTAGCTTGAGTGAGTAGGCTGCTTTCATGTCACTTAAAACCCCTACGGTTTGAGTGCTAGAGGAGGCCAAGGAAAGGTGAGCTAAGGTGTTTTAATTCTTCAGATTGCAGGACTTGGACAGAAAGATTATACAGATTTGATAAACTAACTTTCTGGTGTTTTGAATCTTTTTGCAGAACCCTTGTGTTCTATCAGCAGACCCTTGTGGATCAAGTAGTGGGTCAGCAATATCAGTGGCAGCAAATTTGGTAGCAGTGTCTCTAGGAACTGAGATTGAAGGCTCCATCTTATGTCCATCTAATGCTAACTCAGTGGTCGGCATAAGACCAACAGTTGGTCTCATCATCGGAGCTGGTGTTCGCCCGTTTTCTCTTGACAAGACACTGCTGGGTTAGTGATCTTCTGTTATCCATATCAGCTTATGAGATGTGAAAGACCTATTAAAGAAGCAGGAATATTTTCCCAATCACAAGTAGAAAACGGCTACCAAAAAGAAAATGATTGTCATGAAGATGAATTAAACTTTATATGTATGTTTCCACTGCATTTTAGCAACTTGTAAAGCTATACGGCGTTCACCTAAAAGAGTAATTTGTTAGTCATTACAACTACAGAGGACTCTGTTTTGAAACTATTGTATTGAATTCAAGGAACATAAATGCATCTCTTGGCTCTGGATGGAACAGACCTATCTGCAGGAAGTTTCAGTTTAATTTCTAAAATATATTTTAATTAAATTTTATCTTATTAAATCATTCTAGATTAATTTTTAATGTATTTGACTCATTATATTTGTAATATATTAGCACAAATATAAATTATAATTATAATTAAATAAATTAAATAATTTAATTTATTATCAATTCAACAATTTATATAATTTATTTTATACCCAATGTTTGTTCTTTCATTACCTAAATTAAGATAACATATAACATGACAAAAGTATAACATTCTTTATATAAAATGATTTAGTAATTTCAAGTCTAAAAATCACTTACATAACTATTATGTGAACCTTTACATGGGTAAATGTAATTTTTTTCA